TAAATTCTAGAATGTACACAGGGCCATAAAGGCAAATGTAGTTCTAGGAAGTGCTCAAGGTTTTGCTAGTTCCCCCAAGTGAACATGGAGTCCCCCATCTCAGGTACAGTTTTGAGGAATGTGTGTTAAGTGCTAAGTATGTACTAGGTACTGTGCTAAGAACTTCAGATATAGTAACACATTTAACTCTCACAATGAAAGTTTGAAGTGCGAAGCTTTATTAGGATTCCCATTTTACAGATGAGGATGTGGCTTGGCAGGTCTAAGGCTGCACGCCTAGGAAAGTGGGTGGGCTTAAACTCAGAACTATGCAACTTCCCAATCAGTAATCTTCTCTGCTATGCTATGCTACCTTCTCTAAAGCATATAGAAAATGTAATACAAATATTTATGTACAAATGAACACAATATTGGCTTTGTGGCCCAAACTGTAATCAGTTTGTGTTCCATATGTCATTCTGGTTTGTGAGCCACTCCCTGTCCTTCTTCCCAGTGCCCCAGATATACTTTCACTTCTCTCCCAGCCACTAAATGTCATCCAAACTTCTAATTTGACTGGATGCTGAGAATCTTACTATTTTGTGCCATCCCAAGTAATTTCATGACTCCTTCCTTTTCCTTGTTAAGAAAGATGACTCTTGTGGTGGCTGTGGCCCAGAATCCTCCCCTTGTACTTAGAGCGAGCCAATCAATAGCTCTCCCTACAGCCCTCACCGCACCGATGGCCTGCAATGCATTAATGGCATTGCTCTTTGGCACCTCAAAAGATGGTCTTGCTAGAAAATAAATTTATCCCCCCCCCCCGCTTTCTTCTTCTCAGTGACGCCTACCTTACTGCTTCCTGTCAGAAGGCTTTGGAAGCCCTGGTGCCATCCAATAGCACCATGGAGATAATCCTGGTTTTTAAAAGTGTCATTTATGGAAGATGCAATTTCTACTTGGTCAATTTGCACGTGGTCGGTCTTGTATATTTAATCTGGCAGCAGAATGCTTACATTTTTTTCTTCTTCTGAGGTTAAAATTAAAAAATGGGTCCTAAAACTATCACCCATGAAAAACAATTAGAAAACAATTCCCTGTTGCTTTCTTCTTGCTGGAGTCTGATGGACTGACTTTAACATATTCTAGTGGACAGGGTTGGTTTGTTCAATTGGTTTGAATGTCATTCTGATGAGTCCAAGAGTATACACCCCATCTCTGCAGGATGTGAGTGTATCCCCCTGGGCACTGGGTGTCCCATTCTCCCTGTAAATCTGCACAAGGGAGAGGAGACACAATGACATTCCCACTCCAAGCCCATACCTCACAGACATCACATGTTGGGTACAAGGTTACTGCATATTGTCTAGTTGATAGTGTCAAACATCTTGCTTACTGGAGGTACGTAGAGGAAAATCAGTAAATTCAAAAGAAAATACCATCTAAATAATAAGAGTACGAGTATTACTTGTCCACTTCAAAGACATGCAGAAAATGCATGGAAACACAAACAGTATGGTGAGCAAGGCAAGAGATATCTGTGAACTGACTCCTCTTTCTTCAGTGTCTTGATCACACTCTCCGTGGGAGGGGGGATGCTTCTTAGTTCTAATACGAACTTAAGAGAACAGGGGTAAGGGGGGGAGGGGGGACTGTTCACGGTGTCTGTTCAGAAAGAACTGAAGCAACCCAAGACTGTTATTACATCTGATTGCCGGCAACAGAATGTTGCTAAAGCCCTCCCTTTTAGGATTTTGGACAGTTGCTCGAGTTTCAGTCTTTGAAAAGCTGAAGTCTGGACAAGAGAGCGTGTTAAAGAAAATTTGCTTTTAAGGATAAGCTTCACTGTGATGTAGATTACTTCTTAGTGTTCACTCAGCGAAGACATGAGTACTGTAGATACTCAGGGGCTATGGCACTGTTTTGTGTACTTCAGATGACATAGTTTTTCTATTTCTTCAGAACTGGTCTATATAGCTTTTCATTGAAGAAACGATTACATGCGTTTCCCCTAATCAAAATTTGATCCATATAGTATTCTACCTAATAGCAGTAACAGTGCTTTCCTGTGTCTTCGGTTTGGGTTCTTTTTCAAAGCTTCTCTACCCTTTGGCGTATTTCTTAAACCTGTCATCTTGTGATGTCTCTTTTTAGAACACCCAAGAAGCAGGGATTTAAAAAAGTTCCTAAACTAGGAAATCCCGCCCCCAAGCTCTTTCCCACCGAGAGTAAGTTGTTGCCGTCCTGGGGCCTTGCAGGCCCCATGTCTGTAAGGGACCAAGACCACTGCTTCAGACAGACCTTTGGGATAACACCAGTGGGCCAGACTCACAGATTTTTATTTGCAGTTGCTTAAAATTTAAAAAGGCAAAAAAACCCCCACCCTACAGTAGTGATATAGTTCAGAAAATAAGTGAGTTTGTGGGCAGGTGGTACAACTTATTGTCAGTAACTGCAGCATTTTGCACAAGCATCCTCTCTTCCATCCATCTGTTCGTTTCTCAGCTCTGCCAGGAGGTGTCACTATAATCACAGAACAAACATTCCACAGCATGGTATGTAACTTTATTTTTCTAGCATAATAATTTAAAGTATTTACACACTTGCACACTCACAGTTTTACAGATACTTATTCATATACCTATGAACCACATCTAAAGACTCAGCACACTGTGGGATTTCCAAGCATAAAAAGAGGACAAAAAATGTTTTAAGTTTTTTAAAGACAGCCATATGGAACATCTGTGAAAACCAGTGTTTTCCTCCGAGTTTTAGGCTCCCCAGGAGACCTTTGAACAGCTACAGCCTATCCATGTGTTGCTGTGACCCAAAACTCTTCTGGTTAAGGAAGATTTCAAAGACCAACATGTGCAAGGAGCATTTTCTCTAGAAATCCTATAAAAGAAACAGGAGATAATAAAGCTGGCCTCTCTCCAAGTACCTGCATTTCTAAAACAGTGATCTGTGAGGACAGTTAAGTGTTGTACAGGAACACTGGCTAAGGGAGAATAGCTAAATGTACTGGTACCATTCCTAGTGATGTAGGATGGTTTTAAGCATCTTTTCCAGTTAAATAGTATGGCAAAATGACACGATTTTCTTTCCCAGCTATTAGTAGAGGTGGTCTGCTTTCCCTACAAAGGCCAAAGGTACATTAACCATACACACTCCAAACCCAGACACTGTAGAAATTTCTACTCTTGTTTTCACTTCACTTTTATACTGTTTGCACAGTCTCATTTTCCCAGACTGGCCAGAATACTCTCTTATATAGCAGAAAGTGGAGAGGAGCTTTGCCACCTCTGGATGAATTGCAGTTCATCCTGTGACTGGATGATCAGTTTACTGAAGGAACTTCACAAAAATGACATCCTTTCATCCCGCCAGTTTGGGCCTCTGGCAGTGCTACCAACCCATGGCATATGGCACAAGGAAGCAGTTACCTGGCTAACAGAAACTTAGCACAATCTAGACCCAAATTACTATGGTATTTAAAGTTTATTCACTTTTGTTTACATTAATGTAAACTTAAGGTAAAGCACAAATTCTATCACTTTTTCTTGGAACCGAACACATTTTAGAAAGAACAATACAAACCTACCCATTTTGGAGTTTACTTTCTCAGTTAACTGTGTTTGCTGCTGTTGATAGTGTTTTCTTTTTGCAGGGGATTGTTGACAAGGAAATTGAAGAGGTAAAAATTTTTTTTAACTTTATAGGGATTTTATGAAGTTACATGAGCAACTGACAAAATATTCACTTACAGACATTAACAGGGATAATATCTTATTAAAGAGACCACCTGGGAGCAACCGCTGCTTAATGAGAATCTCTAGATTAACTAGCACCCAGAGTTCAGCCACATTCTGAGTCAGGCGGAGGAAGTGTTTGTCATTGACACCCTAGTCCATTCCATCATGCAAACAGACGTGTGGAAGACCGTGGATGCTACGGTGAAGAACATGGTGTGGAGGGAAACAAAGAGTGGTAAACTTGGTGGTGGGACCTGGGCCTCAGTAAGGAATCTAACAGTCCCCAGTGCCTGAGGTTGAGGAGGGCTTGCTGTGGGTGGAGACAGGGAGCAGTACGTTTCTGGGCCTGAAGAGTCAAGGAGGGAAGGCTAAGAATGCGGGCTTGCACAAATCATAGAAAGCGGCAAGCCATGATCACTAAATTTATGTTTTTGTGTTTTGTTTGTTCAATGTAAAATAGTTAAAAGAAGAAAAAAACTACAGTTTACACAAGGACATGGGATGCAGACAGACTGAGCACTACCGGAGTCTAGCAAAATGCCTGGTACTTACCTAGGAAATTGTCATCACTACTAGCCCCTTCTGACCTATAAAAACAGCAGTTTCATATGGTTCAACTTAATACACTGGAAATGCTCAGATATAACAATCCTAGTTTAATAAGGATTGTAGTAATATTCTCTCCACTCTCTTGGAAAAGCAACAGCTGTTGAAGAGGGAGAGGGCTTCCTAGACATCAGTCTTTAACAGCCAAAAGCACCTGCAAGGTGGAGTTAACTATTCTTCCGAATCAAGTGAGGACAGAAGCGCTGGGGAGGCTCCACCAGGAGGTGAGTATGAGCTGCGCACCATGGGAATCAGTAGCAAAGGGAAAGGGCAGAAAGGAACAGCCAGGAACAACTACAAACATCATCACTGTTCGTTTCAAAGGGGACGCTGCATATGGTGTCTGTGTATATGTACTATACATACTAAACAGGTACACACATAAATATTTAATATATAAAAAATAAAGTGCTTTCTAACAGGTCCCCAGGCAGGGACATTATAAAACTTTTCACAAAACTGCAAAATAAAATCGATACAATCAAAGAGCACTACATCCAACATACATGAAAACAATCAAACACAGTATGTACAATCTGGTGGGTGTCCCAGAACAAACATCCTGTCATATACATGGTATATACATATATACTCTTTTACTCAATATATTATGACAATATATATTTTAAATTTTTGCTATAGACAAAAAATAAAAGACAACCCCTACAAAAACACAATACAGATCAAGCACATGAGCCCCAGGCCGAGAGAGAGCTGGCTGCCTCCACGGGGAGTCTCCTGACCACTGCTTGGGAAAATGTGCCAGCGTTCCTTCCTCGGGTGCAGTGCCTCCATGTCCGCCAAGGCACTGTGGGCTGCCGCGGTGAAGTTGGCATCACCGGTGGTGAGCAGGTCGAAGACACAGGACTGGAAATAGATGTCCTTCACTGGCATCTTCTCGTGGCATTGAGCATTGGCAGTCTCCAGTGTGTAGCCAGGCCAGGTCTGTGCCAGGCGGGTGTGAGGCAGGGCGTGCCCCAGGATGGCAGACACCTGGCCCTGCCCATCATCAATGCGCTCGCTCAGGGGGCAGCCATTCACACACAGCTGCAGGTCCTGGCTTTCCTCGTAGGACATGGCCAGGTCTTCAGGCATGCGGATGGCGAGGGTCAGGTAGCGACCCAGCTGCCGCACAAACACCGTGGTCCCTATGTAGCGGGCGTGCATCTCCACATAGCGGCCACTCTCCCTTTCCACTATACGCAGACTCTTGGTGTCGCCATCCCCACCGCTGGTGCTGCCATCCACAAAGGCAGCAGGCAGGTCATCTGTCACAGCTTGGTACACTTTCTGATCGGTACACTCACGGTGGGCTTTGAAGATGATTGTGATCTGTGGAAGGAACGTGGACAGTTAACACTATGGGAGGGAAACACGGTAGTGCCTCCCCCTGAAGTTGAACGGCTAGAGAAAAAATCTCCAAAGTCAGCCCCTTTGCTCCTGCCTCACACATGAATGGTGTTGCTGTGAGGGAAAATTAAAAATCCTATGTATTGCCCTGACTGGCATGGCTCAGTCAGTTGGGCACTGTTTCACAGCACCAAAGGTCACCAGTTCAATTCCCAGTCAGGGTACATGCCTGGGTTGCGGGTTTGGTTTCTGGTTGGGGGGTGTACGAGAGGCAACTGATCGATGTTTCTGTCTTTTTCTCCTTCCCTTCCCCTCTCTCTAAAAATAAATAAATCTTAATAAAAACAAAAAAAGGTCCTATTATTTAGAATGAAAATTCAACATAAGTCCAGGGAATGTGCATCAGGAAAAAGAATCTGTGTTTACTGTTCTAAGATCGGGCAGTGTTGCTGTTGGGATATAGGCAATTTTTACCCATCATTTATACCTTGTCTCTTTCCAAAAACAGATGAGCAAGTGGCATAGTTCTGAGAAAGAAAAACATTCCTTTCTAAGTTACACAGAAATTTGAAGGGGCTTAATTAACAGTATATGTACCAGAATGTTGATTCCTAAAAAGTTTCTTCATTGGACTGTAAAAAATGTATCCCATGACTAATCACCACAAACTTACTTATGAAAACTGAGGGGGGTGTAGCAGAGAGTTGAGAAGGGGGGCCATCCCAGAGCAGCTACCAATCATGTGCCTCAGGAAAGATTTCTCTAAGTCTCCTAATCAAATGTTTCACATGACTGGCTAATCCCTGTGACAGGGAAATCACTTGGCAAATATAGCTCCCAAGCACTGGCAGAGAATAAATACCCTAAACCTAGTTACAGCAAATGTTTTCTCCAAACACATGGCCCTTTAGCTTCTCAGAATTTCTTTTCTCCAGCCAACTCTCAATTCTCCAAGTTAAATAGATAATTCATGGAGGAAAAAAAAAAAAAAAAACTACTGACAATACCAAAGCTTCCTTTTTAGTGAACCCACTTTCTTTCCTTAATTAGAACAACTATTAAAAAAGAAAAAACAAAAACTGAACCTTTGAGCACCCTGGCCCCCCACACATTCCACATCTCTGGTGCAGGTGGCGGAAGAAAGAGGACTGTGAAGAGACAGGGCCTCCTGGGTATACAAGGTGGGAAATTTGTCCTGAAGGAAAAAAAAAGACTACATTTTGAGATTTGTGTTATTGTCAGTAACTGAGGTAACAGCTTATTTTTCTTTCTTCATGGAGGGGGAAAAAAAAAAGGATCAGGTGACTTCAGTCAAGGAGGAGGTAGACAGGCCAAACACTCTACAAATTACTCTGGACGGAGGAAACCACCTCCTGCAAGGGAACTAATCAAAACAATAGACCCTTGTTAAAAAAGGCCAGAAAATGCCCTGGCCCCCCTCTCCGCCCCTCTCTCTACAAGTCCTCACCACCACCCTCAAGTTTATGTCTGAAGTTTTTTCCCTCAACTCGGCTAGCATTTGCTCACACTATTTAATTCCACATGTTCCCACTGGTGTTACTTGACTGGAATTTTCCAGCCATTTCATTTTACTTCAGCCAGTTTTAAAGCCAGATCTGAACCAGCTGCACTGTAGCAACTGGTTAAATTCATATCCGTTGTTTGCAGCTGCAACTGAAGGCCAGACAATGTACTAGGAAAATGCTTGGATTTCTCCCTTCCTAATTACCCTGAGCCACAATTTAATTTCACTACCAGCCTTCTAACATTTCAACACCTTCTTAACAACCCAAGGGAGGTGTACCAGAGATGATTTCAGGAAATTTGTTGTGCATCCAACCATAGGACCTTCCAGAGTGAATGGGATTTTGAGCTAGATATCTAATGGGACTATAAAGTAGATTTATTTGGTGGCTCTACAGACAGTTTGACAAGTTTATTTATTTATTTTTAAGGCAAGCTAGGATCTGTTGGAGGTGAAAAGATTATTTCAAATAAATTCTGCACCTGAAAGAGTTGAACGTTAGCACAAATGGCTAAAATAAGACTTTTCATATAATCACTACCCTCATTTTCAACTATAACATTCACAAAGATTTCACAAACTCTTCTACAACAGCTAAGTAATTTGTCTTTTTAGTATAAGAAACCTCAAATTTCCACCAACTTGGCATTATTTATAAGAATTAAGAACTTTTTTATTCGCCTTAGGAAAAACGAAGAGGAATTAGTTTTGCTGGGACAACACAGAGGAGAGCCAATTTCACACAAGTTTCCAAAAAGGCAAGCAAGGGTCGATATTCAGGTGAGTGGCATATACCACGCGTCTTCCCAAGTCTCTGTTACTTTCACTGAGCACACCAACTGCAACCCTGGACTCATTTCAAACCCTCGCACGTTAACGTTACCTTCCGTGCCTGTGACACACCTTGAGGAAGGAGATAAGCACAACTCAAAGCTTGACCTCTGCACTAGCACCTTCACTTACAAAGTATCCCCGTTTATCTAACAGATTTTTATGTCTGTCCAATTTCCTGGGAGTGATTTTCTCTATGAGACAATGAAGCTGACATTTCTCTTGTTTCTCTTTTGGGTAAAATAATTCTCCCAGGGCCTGTGTACAGAATTAACCTATGAATTAAAATGCCTAGGGCGATGAATCGATCTCAAAAGCATGAGAGGGGTTTCCTGATTGGGTCTCTACAGTCTCAGTTTGTCCTAGAGATACCATCAATAGAAATGTAGAAAACTCTAGGTAACAGTTTCACATGACTTAAATTTTGTAATATAATTTCATTCCTCATATAATTACAACACATGCTCTTAAACAGCAAGCACTCAGCCATAAAGGGCCAGAAATTTTCAGATTCTGTCTCCCTCTTCAGAAAAACAAAATTTACCCATTCTTATTCTTAATAACTCTAAATCGTTTAAAATATTCAAGATTTAATCAGAATTTTTGGAAATTCCAAACATTTTGTATTTCCAACTAGCAGCTATCAGAGCTTTGTAGAAAGAGGATAAAGTTGTAGTCTAAAGCTCTCAAACAGATAATTTAAAAACACCAGCTATGCTGCTTTCTTTTCTCCCTCTATGAACAGATCCATATGCTGTAATAACTCAATTTGGCACATCTGTTCTATGCCACACCATTTATTATTGATGGACAGCATTTCTGTGCATTTAAAACATCAATGCCTTTTGTTAAACCTCCCCCACCCAGTCCCTCTCACACTCCACCCTCAGACAAACTACTCCAGTTCTCCTCATTCATTTTTAATGTTTCACTCCCTGAGATCTTTACCACCCACAAGGTCTATTAGGAAGAGAAAGACAGCAGCTACAAATCAGCCTTTCCACACATGAAAGGCAATAGGACTTAAGGTTTGCTGTGAAATATCAAAATTTAGTGGCATCTGCTTCCGCTTTCCACCAGGAAGAAAATACATGAAAGGAAAATGAGGTAGCCAACAAAAACAGAAAGCCCAGGAACTATCTTACCAAGATACAGACATTATCTCTCCAAAGCTCAACAGCCTTGTAAAGTGCTGTGCCTAGGTTTTCAAATGGCAGAACTCCCCAAAGGCTGTGCACTTAACTATTTGTGCTTATTGCATTTTGGAAGAAACATTTATCAGTGTTTAATCAGGCCGTTTGGCACGGCAAGTGCAGGAACTTACTGGAATCCTGGAATACCAGAACTGGACTTACAGACCGAGGGACTCATCTCTTGGATTAAGATGAGCCGGCAAACTAAAATGAAATCATCTCAGAAATTAGTTTGGAACATGCGGAAACAGTTTTGATATGTACCTGGTTAAAATTCTGCTTGTTATTAAAGGACCCTAAATGAATTTTCTTTTCTATAATTAGCTACTATGTCCCCTTTGTCAGATCCTTTGGGTGTCTTATAAGCTGAAAAAACAGGGGACTCTGAGGGAGGATGACAGATCTCTGTGCTCACAGCCCTTTTTACTCTTCCACTGGTAGGTGGTATATAGCCTCTGTATTTTGCTCTCTGGAGTGAACAAAAAAAGAAACCATTCCAATAAGAGCACGTGCTTCCAAGAAATACGCGTGCTCTACCTCCAGCTCTTAAACACCTAACCTTTACTTCTGAAGTCAAAGCCCAGGAAACTTGGAAGCACCAAAAGGAGGCAGAGGATCCTGAAAGCCCCTTCCTTCCAGTGCCCCCGGGTTCTACAGCCCCTTCCCCCACCATCATCTGACAGGAAACCGAGGAGTGTGGATCCAGGCTGGAGCTGAGCCACCCCCACCTAGGCCGGAAGACAGGTGCCTGGCCTTTGGTTACAAGAGATGGAAGAACTCTGTGTCTCCCCTACTTTAAGAAGTGGGGTGGGGTGGAGGAGCACATTCATCTAGAATAACTTTCTGCTTGAACTATTTCGAACAAAACCCAGGAGAGTGTTTATATGTACTAAATTTAATTAAAAAATGTTGGGTTGGTTAATAACTGATGTCACTGATAATTTTCCTTAGGATTAAAGGAAAAAAATTTGCTGGGAAGCTGTGGACTCAATGAACTGCAAGGTACTTTTCCAATCACTACTCGGACTATTTATCAAATGTCTACCTACAGGCAGACTGAATGTAACACCTACAAAAGTCTATTTTGTTAAATAAGTAGTAACAGGAAGACAGTGTTTAAGAGGAGCCTTACCCCTAGACTCCTTTTAGGGCTTGAATGTCAAAATAGGGTTCTCTATGCTCACAGAGTCTCTTTCCACAGAGCTCTGTTCTAGGAACACTTACAGGAATCCAGAGAAATGGACTGGATCAGCCTTATTTACTCCTCAGCGTTGCCCCAGGTAATACATGCAGGAACAAGGGCTTCCTTGGCTGCTGGAGGGGGTCTTGGCAGCAGAAGGAAAAAGAAGAAACCAAACTAGAGGGAAGGACACCCACAGCCGAGGCTGCTAGGGTGGTCCGAGGGGAGAAGCACTAGGTTCAGAGGCTGGAAA